CCAAACTATCTTGCCACTGCTCCCCATGTAGTCAGGGGGGGCTCCCTCGTAAATCCGAATACCTGTGCTCGCCACCGCACCAGCTTGTACTACACTTATGGGACTCACCACGTCGCCAAGTCATACTGCTTTGCTGGTATTATTATACAGGATTTATATAGCGTCAACAGTTTGCTCAGTGCTTTACAATATAACGGGAGACAATACAGCAACAATACAAGAGGGTTAGGAGGGCCTGATCCTGGGAGCGAACAATCTAAGAGGTATGTGAAAGACCAGGATGTACTAGACCGCTGGTGCTCACCAGTTCACCAAAAGGTAGCGTGGCACTAGTACTGGCACTCTGCTGCATATGAGAGTCATCAAAATTTACCGACAAGTGCTAACGGAGATCAGGCCTGATTCAGCCAACACTGTGGTTTTGTGCGCAATGTATCAAGTGACAGTGACCTACTGACACTGCACTTGCTGGGGGAGAAGGTGGGGGTGGGTAAACGTAGGGGCTAAACGCAGGTGTTGGCAGGTGCTGGGGCTGAGCCTGCTAACGCTGCATTTTTGGGGACGCTATACTAATGTGAACGCTGGTTAAAGTGTATTTGGTGATGCGTTTCCTGTTCCTGTTGGAGGAAGTACCTATATCTCACATGCTGTCCTAAAAGATGATCTGAGTGGAAAAAAAAAAACTGGGATCACACATTAAACAGCAACTCCTTTTTTCTTTTTGTTCTTACTTTTAGGATGTTAAAGTTATTGTAGAATCTCTGTCAGGTTCCTACTAATGAAAAAAAAATAGTGTTGAACTTTTAGGAAAATATGTAATTCAATATATACACCCTGTTCCCAATTATTATGCAAATTCTATTTAAGTGTCACAAAAATTAAATATTTTTGTTTTTCAGTTTAACTCATTGATGGCATTGTGTCTCAGGGCTCTTTTGATCACTGAAAACAATCTCGGACACCTGTGATAATTAGATTGGCAGGTGAGCCCAATTTAAGGAAAAACTACTAAAGGAGGGTGTTCCACATTATTTATTTATTTATTTATTTATCGAGTTTATATAGCGCCAAAGGGTTTGCTCAGCGCTGTACAATAGATTAAGCAGAGCACAATTTTCAAGCAATATGGGGAAGAAAAAGGATCTCTCTGCTGCCGAAAAGAGTGAAATAGTTCAATGCCTTGGACGAGGTATGAAAACATTAGATATTTCACGAAAACTTAAGCGTGATCATCGCACTATTAAGAAATTTGTGGCTGATTCAGAGCACAGACGGGTTCGTGCGGATAAAGGCACATTGAGGAAGATATCTGCCAGATCCATGCATCGGATCAAGAGAGCAGCTGCTAAAATACCATTACATAGCAGCAAACAGATATTTGAAGCTGCTGGTGCCTCTGGAGTCCCACGGACATCAAGGTGTAGAGTCCTCCAGAGTCTTGCAACTGTGCATAAACCTTCTATTTGGCCACCACTAACCAATGCTCACAAGCAGAAACATATGCATTGGGCAGAAAAATACATGAAGACTAATTTTCAACCAGTCCTGTTCACTGATGAGTGCCGTGCAAACCTGAATGGTCCAGATGGATGGATCAGTGGATGGTTGGTGGACGGTCACCCTGTTCCAACAAGGCTGCGACGTCAGCAAGGCGGTGGAGTCCTGTTTTGGGTCGGAATCATGGGAACTGAGCTGGTCGGCCCCTTTAGGGTCCCTGAAGGTGTAAAGATTACCTCTGCAAAGTATGTGGAGTTTATGACTGACCACTTTCTTCCCTGGTACAGAAGGAAGAACTATGCTTTCCGTAATAAAATCATCTTCATGCATGACAATACACCATCTCATGCTCCAAAGAATACCTCTGCATCAATGGCTGTTATGGGGATAAAAGAAGAGAAAGTCATGGTGTGGCCTCCATCCTCCCCTGACCTCAATCCTATTGAGAACCTTTGGAGCATCCTCAAGCAAAAGATCTCTGAGGGTGGGAGGCAGTTTACATCCAAACAGCAGCTCTGGGAGGCTATTCTGACATCTTGCAAACAAATTCAAGCAGAAACTGTCCAAAAACTCACAAGTTCAATGGATGCAAGACTTGTGAAGCTGCTATCAAATAAGGGGTCCTATGTTAAAATGTAACGTGACCTGTTAAAATGTGTAAAAAATTAAAAATGTTGTTAAACGTTTGATTGAAATAGCTTTTGATTTCAGTAAATATGCTGCAAACACAACAAATGACAATTTTCAGTTCTTTACAACCTATAAAGTGTTTTGAAACTTACTGTGCATAATAATTTGGAACAGTGCATTGTACGTTTTTTATGTTTAAAAAAAATACTGTTATCATTAGGAGGTTTGTTCAATAAAATTTGAATTGTACTCTTAATAGATAACATGAGAATTATGCTGACTGTTATTTACATCAATTATTTAGGTAAATGAGAAATATATCATTTGCATAATAATTTGGAACAGGGTGTAGTGTATAACAAAGTCCTATAAACAAAATATCAAAGTCCACCAAACGTGTGCAAAATCTTCATGCAGCAGCTGTGCACCAACCACCAAATGATTATAATGCTGCTTACCAAATCCTTACACTCTGCCACTCAAGAGGTCTAAATTGGCATTTAAAAGGTGACAAATCCTTGATCCTCACACACCTCAGCAAAGCCTCACTCTCTCATGAATGGCATGCCTCAAAATTAGTCACTGGATCGCTTTTCATATACCAGATTCACCAGTAAAAACACATACCAAGGAAAGAGCAAGGAAATCCCATAGTGAAGTACTGTTTTAAAACATTTATTTGGTGGTTGGTGCAGACTCTGTTGCCCCTTGGAAGACGTGCCATACGCGGAAACGTGCGTAGGGCAGAGTTTAGTGATGACATCATCGTGTCGGTGGTGCTGTGCGATATGCTTGTCATACTGTCTTGTGAATACCCACTTGGTTTACTAATGTTCTAGAATGTTGCACTATGCTAGTGAGAATGGGGTGTTAGCGACCTCTATTTATGAGATAGAATTGAGAGACAAAGCTGTGCTATAAACAAATTAGTATATAATGCGTTTTATATAGTGGTGCACCGAAATGAAAATTCTGGTGCCGAAAACTATACAGAAAATTCAGAATGCATGTGGCCGAAAACCGAACCGAAACCAAAATGTCTGCTTATGTGGGGGGTGCTCCAATTTCTTTATTTTTTTTCTACTTTCATGTATATTTTTATTTTTTTTTAACTTATGATTTTATTGCTATCACATAGGGGACCAATAGTCCCCTATGCAATAGCATATGAGTAACAGGTCTTCTTTGTAGGGGGAAGGGGTGGGGGGCAGTGTGTGCAAGGAGGGGGCAGGAGAGGAGCTTTGTTTACAGTGAGGGAGCAGCGCATACAGAGAGGCTCCCTCACTGGTTGTCACTATACGTCGGTGCCGGTTTTTTAAATGCAATTGCCGGATTTTTTTTCTCTTTACTATAGCTCACAGAATTAGCTGCCACTTTCCCCGGAGCTAAAGGAAACTTTGTTTCTTTTAACTCGGGGAAAGAAACTAAAAGGAAACTTTGTTTCTTTTAGCTGGGGGGGGGGGGGGGGGGGGGGGGGGGGTGACAGCTCATTTTGTGAGCTATAGTAAAGAAAAAAAGAAGAGCCGGCAATTACATTTAAAAACCGGCACTGACATAAAGTGACAGCCAGGGAGGACTGACCATTTGGAAACTCGAGCCCGGGGTCAGAAAGGGGCCCATGAGATGCCCCTGGTACCTTTTTCATAGGCTTTTTTGAGTTTGGGTAAGGACACAGGGGCCCCATGATCCCCAATAGCCCAGGGGCCCCATGAGTTGTCAATCCACCCCTGGTGACAGCTATTCACTGTATACACTCCTCCTCTCCTGCCTTTCTCAGCTGCCACCCCCCCTCACATCTGCAGTACACATTGTATCAGCACAATTTTTCCTATCTGCAAAATTCCGATAGGGATACTTTCGGCTGATATGTTTCACTGGCCGAAATATCGGTGCATCCCTAGTTTTATTCATAAAAACTGTATTAATTCCCAAGTGTGCACAATTTCCATCACAACCAATAGGGTAAGTAGGCTTAGTCTTCTATCCATTAGCTTTCCAAAATATAATAGTGCTGAATACCACTAAACCAATAGCATAAACTGTGATAATCCCATTACTGAAAAATACAAAAAAATATGAAAGTCTGAAGGCAATATTTACTTTTGAATAAGTAATCATATGGACCGCGCATAATATGTGCATAAAACAATGAAGTAAAATATAAGTCAGTCCCAAAACAGTGAAAAAAGTGCAAAGTGCTGGTGCTCAATTGTGAACTCTTCCCACAATACAACAGGTGCTCCACTAAGCTCAAAGTAGTGCCCCACATGGACTGACACTCACCATCATCCAATGACCACATATCTCTAGAGTGGCCATTCACGCTTTTGGGACTATCCCAGTTAACCGGTTGTTGCAATTAGTGACCATCTATCCTTGGAGTAAACTGTGATTGAAAATAGACAAGTCCTCCAACTTTTTCCTCACCTCCACAGGCAGGGTATGCAATATATCACCATAAATTATGCCATAGTGTAAAACCCCTTGCCTTTATTATGGCGAAATGACTACAAAAATACACTCACAAAAGAAGTGCCTGTTGCCCGTCACTTGGTGTACTCAGCCTTGTTGCTGTTGCAATGAAAAAATGGCTGCCACTGCTAGTGGTTGCTCCACTGAGCTACGTGCGTTCCACAGGGCAGATATGATGTCGGCGGATGTTGCTTCATCAAATGCTTTTCGATCATAGATAGTCTTCAGGAAGGCACTTCTATTTTACTTCATTGTTTTATGCATATATTATGCGCGGTCCATATGGTTACTTATTTTGTGTGCGTTTAGGTTCACAATTTAGGACTACTGCAGTTGGTAATTAGAGATTGTGATATTTCTATAAGCGCAACAGCACATTTTTTTTTATTGTTAATATTTACCTTTGACCTAAAAGCATCCTGGCTTCTTTTTCCTTCAAGGTTCTCTTTAGATCAGCTGTTCTGGAGGGCCTGTACAGATATTTTCTTTTCCCAGTACATTCATAGCTCCAATGGCCAAGCTCTAGGCACTTCTGACAACGTACATTCTGCTTATTTGCTTCTCTAGGATAGAAATGAATAGCACAGAATAATGATTGTTTACTACTAAATATATGATTTATTTGATATGAATAAACATTTAATTTTGCATTAAGCTTTTAAGAGCACAAACTTGAATTCTGCATTCCAAATCCACATTAAAAACCAAACATTTGGTTTGGAATCTCTATCAAAACCAGCAATGGAAGGCTAGTGCTGGCCCTTCCCAAAAGATCTTGATGTAATCCGCCTGCCTCTCTGCCTCAGCCAGAGGAATCTTTGTATTCATTCATAGAAAACAAAGTTTCCTGTCAATGGTTGAGCAGCGCTCAGGCCAATTTGATTTTATTCCAGAGTTAGACTTTAAGTAGAGAGAATTCAGATGGACCTTTCAGCCTACATTTTATGAATGGGAGTTAAGATTCAGGCTGTAGTGTGAAGCAATATAGACTTGTTCGGCATAAACCAGAAAGTCGTACCTGTTCTATATTTTTTAAAAAGGGCCCTTAGTGCATACTATATTTGGGATCATGCTGTTCATTAACTAACCGCTTCCCGACCGCCATATAGCAGAATTACTGCTACAGGGCAGCAGGGCTGTGCAAAATCATGTATATATACACGTGATTTTGTATTTTCGGGTAAGGGGTGCATTCACAGGTGCCGCCATACCCGTGCCACCATTAGCGACTACAGCTGTCGATCACCGGGTCCCGGACAGAGATTCCCCACCGGTACCCTGCAATTGCCGAGGAACAGACAGGGGAGAGGTCTGTATGTAAACAATACAGATCTCTCCTGTCAGCTCCAGCACACTGCTTTGTATTGTTCTGCATAATAAAACACACACATCACATATAGCAAAACAGCACACGGTTAACCCTTTGATCACCCCAGATGTTAACCCCCTCCTGCCCAGTGTCAGAATGCCCGCCACAGTCCTGCAGTCCCTCTATAAGTCACTGATCGCCATTACAAGTATAAAAAAATAAGAAATTCCAGTATCTATACCGCCATTTGTAAACGCTATAACTTTCAGGTAGACCAATTAATTTACACGTATTGGGATTTTTTTTTTTTTTTTAGCAAAGACATGTAGCAGAATACATTCTGGCCTAAATTTACAACGAAACTTGATTTTTAAAATTATTTTACTGGATATGTTTTATAGCAAAAAGTAAAACTTTTTCTTTTTTTTCTAAAATGGTCAGTCTTTTTTGGTTTATGGAGCAAAAAATATATGCAGAGGCGATCAAATACCACAGAAAAAGCTCCATTTGTGGGAAAACAGGAAGAAAATTTAATTTGGGTGCAGCATTGCATAACCCTGCAATTGTCAGTTAAAGTAAAGCAGAGCCATATCGCAAAAAAAAAACGGCCTGGTCAGGAAGGAAGGGGGGGGGGGGGGGATCCTCTGGAGGGCAAGTGGTTAAAGGATAAACACCCCATGAATTTGTGAGCTAAAATAAATCATGAAAAAATATTTAATATTTATTTATGTATTTGAACCCATCTAGTAGAATAATAAAAAGAAGGCATTACTGATTTTTTTTTAGGCCCTGTGATATTTTTGCAAATGTTTATCAAAACAAAAATTTTGCTAAAAATACACAAAAAACCTTATTCACAGACACAAACACAGCAACATTTACAAAACTCTTGCTAAATTCCTACTAAATATAAAAGCTAAAACTGTATTGAGTTAATAAATAAATTTTAGCACAGTTTAAATTGTGCTTTTTTGTGAAATGGTGAAAACTGAAGGTGTGCAAAACAGTAAATAAAAACAATTTACGCAAATCTGAGGTTATATTTTTTCCCTTACAGCTTTCAGAGTTTGTAGAAGACCCCCAAACCAAACATTTTCTGAAAGCACATGTAGAATTTAAAAGAAAAAAAAAAAAAAAGTGCTACTGATTTTTTTTTTTAAGGTCCCGCAATAGTTGCGCAAATGTTTATCAAGTCACTATTTTCACTAAAAATACATTAAAATCATTATTAGCAGACACAAACACAACTTACAAAATTCCTGCAAAATTCCTACTAAGGCCTCGTTCACATGGGGCATATTAATTGTATGCCCATGGAGGGCCATATTTACGAGTATGGGGACACCCATGTGTTCTGTGCATGCGCGTGCAAGCAGTCCCATTCATCTCTACTGGGATGCAGCCCAGACATGACCACAAATGCAGACAGTGAGAGCGCAAGGACATGCAACAGGGCCCACATGGATGTCATCATGGGAGCAGCAGCTGTGCCCATGCAGTTGCTACATCCCCCAACTGACATCAATAGGACTGCCTGAACAGGGGTGCGTGAAATGCCTGTGCATCCCCGTGTGGGTAAACACGGCCTTGCAGGGGTGTGTGCTGTAGTATTCCCTCGTGTGAACGAAGCCTTACGATTTATTTTTTTAACAATTTTGTTAATATTTTAAACTTTGTTTTTGTGGGGTGGGGTGGGGGGACTTTTGTGATACATCCGGGGTCTAAACAGACCTTCGATGTCCCTTTTTTGAGACAGAGAGAAAGAAAATGAAGACACTTCAGTCCCTTTCTCTGCAGCCAGGGTTGAACTGCATATGAATGAATAGAAGTCTCTGCATAGAGGCTCCTATACATTCATAAACTGGAGCATAGTAAACATTGTTACAATTCTCCAGTGATGAATAAATACACATTCATTCAGGCAAGGAAGGGAGCTGGTAAACACATTTTGTCATCTGCAGATCAGAACTATCGGTGTGTCCAGCAGACTAAGGAGAAAAGTCAGATCGGACCAAGCCAGATAACAGCAGTACTGTAGGCCTGGCAGCAAAAAAAAAAAAGTTAAAAAAAAAATAACAGAATTACTGGATCACCAGTGGTGATAATAAAGGATAAAAAGCCTGAAAAAAAACTAATGCAGCCACTACACCTAAGAACTGGTAAGCAAAAATATAACACATTTTTGTTTTGGGGTTTAACCACTTTCCGGCTGCCCTATAGTAGAACTAGTGCTACAGGGCGTCAGGGCTGCGCAAAATCACGTATATGTGATTTGCATTTCCGGGTAGGGAGCGCACGCACTGCCCTACCCACGCCGCCATTGGTGGCTAGGGATGTCAATCACCGGGTCTCAGCTGGAGATACCCCGCCGACACCTGTTGATCACCTTGTAAAGTTGACAGGGGAGAGACCTGTTTGACAGCAAGGACATGCTGATTTGATTTTCTCTGCACAGCAGAGAAATACAAAAGCAGCATATCTCCCTAGTAAAACACACACAGCACATAAAGTTAAACAGCACACAGTTAACCCTCCAGCATGCATAGCAGACGAATACAAAGAAGCGTGCTTACATAGTAACGCACACACAGCACATATAGTAAAACAGCACACAGTTAACCCTTTGATCACCCCAGATGTTAACCCCTTCCTGCCCAGTGTCACTAGTAGTGTTAGTGCTTTTCATTAGCACTGATCACTGTATTCGTGTCCTTGGAATGTCTGTGGCAGTTAGTTCTCATCCAGTGTCAGAATGCCTGCCGCAGTCCCGCTGCTGGTCGCCGCCATTACTAGTATAACATAAAAAAAATTCCAGTATATATACCGCCATTTGTAGACGCTGTAACTTTCACGTAAACCAGTTAATTTACATGTATTGGGATTCTTTTTAGCAAAGACATGTAGCAGAATACATGTTGGACTAAATTTATGACAAAATTTGATTTTTTTTTTTTATTTTTTTTTACTGGATATGTTCTATAGCAAAAAGTCAAAAATATTGTGTTTTTTTTTTTTTCAAAATTGTAGGTCCTTTTTTGTTTAGAACGCAAAAAATAAAAAAACAGAGGTGATCAAATACCACCAAAAAAAGCTCTATTCGTGGGAAAAAAAGAACATAAATTTCATTTGAGCGCAGCGTTGCATGACCGCGCAATTGTCAGTTAAAGTAGCGCAGTGCCGTATCGCAAAAAATAGCCTGGTCAGGAAGGGGCTAAATCCTCTGGAGGGCAAGTGGTTAATTTCACTTAAAAAAAAAAAATAACTTCCAAACATTGCAAGAGATACTTTGCATGAGATATTATATCCAAATTAAATTCATCAGCTTCCACATCTATTATTGTTGCTGTGACATACAGTGGGGATCGAAAGTCTGGGCACCCCAGCTAAAAATTTGTATTAATGTGCATAAAGAAGCCAAGGAAAGATGGAAAAATCTCCAAAAAGGCATCAAATTACAGATTAGACATTCTTATAATAGGTCAACAAAAGTTAGGATTTTATTTCAATCATTTACACTTTCAAAATAACAGAAAACAAAAAAAATGGCGTCTGCAAAAGTTTGGGCACCCTGCAGAGTTAATATCTTGTACTGCCCCCTTTGCAAAGCTGAGACCTGCCAGTGTCATGGATTGTTCTCAATCATCGTCTGGGAAGACCAGGTTATGTCAATCTCAAAGGTTTTAAATGCCCAGACTCGTCTGACCTTGCCCCAACAATCAGCACCATGGGTTCTTCGAAGCAGTTGTCTAGAAAACGGAAACTGAAAATAGTTGACGCTCACAAAGCTGGAGAAGGCTATAAGAAGTTAGCAAAGCGTTTTCAGATGTCAATATCCTCTGTTCGGAATGTAATTAAGAAATGGCAGTCATCAGGAACAGTGGAAGTTAAAGCAAGATCTGGAAGACCAAGAAAAATATCAGACAGAACAGCTCGCAGGATTGTGAGAAAAACAATTCAAAACCCACGTTTGACTGCACGATCCCTCCAGAAAGATCTGGCAGACACTGGAGTTGTGGTACACTATTCCACTATAAAGAGATACTTGTACAAATATGGTCTTCATGGAAGAGTCATCAGAAGAAAACCTCTTTTACGTCCTCACCACAAAAATCATCGTTTGAACTTTGCAAATGAACATATAGACAAGCCTGATGTATTTTGGAAACAAGTTCTGTGGACCGATGAGGTTAAAATTGAACTTTTTGGCCGGAATGAGCAAAGGTACGTTTGGAGAAGAAGGGGCACAGAATTGAATGAAAAGAACCTCTGTCCAACTGTTAAGCATGGGGTTGGATCAATCATACTTTGGGGTTGTGTTGCAGCCAGCGGCACAGGGAACATCTCACGAGTAGAAGGAAAAATGGATTCAATAAAATTTCAGCAAATTTTGGATGGTAACTTGATGGCTTCTACAAATGGATAATGATCCTAAACACACCTCAAAATCCACGGGGGATTACATCAAGAGGCGTAAACTGAAGGTTTTGCCATGGCCTTCACAATCTCCTGACCTCAACATAATTGAAAATCTATGGATAGACCTTAAAAGAGCAGTGCGTGACAGACAGCCCAGAAATCTCAAAGAACTGGAAGACTTTTGTAAGGAAGAATGGGCAAAGATACCTCAAACAAGAATTGAAAGACTCTTGGCTGGCTACAAAAAGCGTTTACAAGCTGTGATACTTGCCACAGGGGGCAGTACAAGATATTAACTCTGCAGGGTGCCCAAACTTTTGCAGACGCCATTTTTTTGTTTTCTGTTATTTTGAAAGTGTAAATGATGGAAATAAAATGAACTTTTGTTGACATATAAGAATGTCTAATCTGTAATTTGATGCCTTTTGGAGACTTTTCCATCTTTCCTTGGCTTCTTTATGCTTAATAATACAAATTTTTAGCTGGGGTGCCCAAACTTTCGATCCCCACTGTAATCACAAGCAGGAGACTTATAATCTTATAATAATAATAAAAATGTAATTCAAACAAATATATAAGGCTACTTGCACTCTGCTCCCTTTTAAATATGCATAGTGCTGCATTTTTGATGCGTTTTCCATTCACTGCATGGGGAGATACAGTTTTTTTTTTACCACGCCAAACATGCAGCAAGGAGTTTATAATAACGCAATAGACCCACAACTGACCAGTGTGAAGAGTTTTTTTTTAACCACTTGCCCTCCTGAGGATTTATATTTATGAGCATAACTTTAACTGACAATTGCATGCTCATGCAATGCTGCACCCAAATGAAATTTACGTCCTGTTTTTTCCCATAAATTGAGCTTTCTTTTGGTGGTATGTGATCGCCTGTGCGGTTTTTACTTTTTGTGCTATAAAAAAAAAAAAAAAAAAAAAAAAAACCAACAATTTTAGAGAGAAAAAAAATATATTTTTTTTTTTACTTTTTGCTATTAAAACGTGTCCAGTAAAAAAAAAATTAAAAAAATTAAATTTCGGCAAATTTACGCCAAAATGTATTCTGCTACATGGCTTGGCTAAAAAAACGTAGTGTCACTGTCACTGACATCCCCAGTAACACCAATACAGTGATAAGTGCTAAAAAAAAAAAAAAAAAAAAAAAAAGCAATGACATTACTAATGGCACTGGGTAAGTAGGGGTTAACATGAGGGGCGATCAAAGGGTTAATTGTGTGCAGGGCGTGTTTTTCATAGTGTGTGTGGGCTTCTCTGTAATCACACTGCTCTGGATGCAGTGGATGGACAGTGCGCCTGCACTGACAGGGAGGAGGACTGTTAGTAAACAAAGCAGTCGTCCTCCCTGTCAGAGATGCTCACACCGGAACCAAAAGCCGGTGGGTAATCACCGGATGCCGGTGGGTAATTACCGGCCGGGACCCGGTGATTGACAGCCACGGCCGCAAATGGCGGCACGGATAGGGAGCGCCCCCTAACCAGAAACACAAAATCGTGTGTGTGTGTGTTTTTGCGTACCCCTGCCGCCCTGTAGCAGTATATCTGTTATATCTGAAGCAGTTAAAGCAAAACCAGAAGAAAAACAGTGAAGTGTGAAAGCAGCCTTGACACTTGGGGAAATAACACATTAAGCAGTGCACGCTCTATAATTTTCTGTTAGTCCTGGTCCTTGTCACAAGGTTTTAGATATGAAGGAAATAAAGTAAATACTGTTTTGCCATGCTGTCACCTTTTTACAGAACTAGACCCTAAAGCAAAACTAAACCCATCCATTTAACGGTTATGCAAAAGAAAGCTCAAGTCAGAAATGTGCAATAAATGTGATTAGTTTAGGATACAGGGTGTGCTACACATGCCCAAAAAAATTTAAAAGTAAGAGTACATGTGTAGTACATCCAGTTCTTCAGCCCTGTCCTGTTTACTCCTTTTGCTGGTAATTCTCAGCTCAGTCGAGACTTGAAGTGTACATAGAACAGCTCAGTAGCCCCATCTCTCAAAAAAATGGATGTCTGACACAATGTTTATCAACAATGCTCAGACTGGAAATACAGAGATACAAACTAACATTGTTACTTTTTTATTTACTTTATTACATTCATCTAAACAGCAAAGAGACACACTTCATCTGTTGAGAATGTCAGCTGAAGCAACCCAACAAGAAAGAAAAAAAAAGAAAAAAAAAAAAAGTTTTTGCCTAAAGTTAAACTATAGGCAAAACTTTTTTTTTCATTTCGGATAGAGCAAGGGAAGGTTATAACTGCTGTCAGATTTTTTTGCACCCTCGGTGTCCCATTGTGGAGATTTCCCTTTACTTCCTGTTCCATAAACAAACAGGAAGTGAAAGGAAATCCCTGCAAATAAAGGGAATTCCTTGGGGACCCCCCCAGGTCACCGAAACTCGTTTCCACTCTATTACTCTTCTGGGGACAACCCAAAATTCTGGGTTTTCTTTCACTTTCAATGATAACAGTAAACAGGACAAATAGAGAGAGTGAATCTCCTTAATGGGGCCACAGACCGCAATAAAAACTGACAGAGTTTTCTAATCCCTCTCCACTCCATCGGAAAAAAAAAAAAAAAAAAGGTTTTGCCTTTAGTTATACTTTAAAGTGGAACTTCACTCTCTCAATCAACATTGGCTATTTTTATTCTTTATGCTGCTAGCATTAGTAAATAAGATGGGAAAGTAGATCATATTTACTTGTTTTAAACTGTTTTTGACATTTCTTTAGTTACTTCCTGATTTCCCATGCCCAGGCACATTATGTCATAAATCCCAAGAGTACTCAAGAGGGGTTTTCTCGGCTAAGGAGCTCCAGAGAAGAACACAGCTGGAGTTCCTGGATTCATCTACTTGATGTTAACAGCAGCAGTGGTTGCGATCTGGTGAACGCACTATATTTTGTGGTCTTGCCGGTTTTGGTTCTTCACTGCGCTTCAGTATATTGTACCTACTGGTTTTGTCAGCTAAGAACACCCTCCTGTCTGCATGCCAACGCTAAGGGAAGATGGATTCCAGAAAGTAAATGCTACATTAATCATCTGCCCTTACTCAAGATGGCCACTGCCAGAAACGCTAGGGGGTGTTTTTTGTAAGTGATATCTCAGCAAAATAAAGCACGGAGACATGGACGGATGAGGGAATTTGCTTTGAAATTAGAAGAAAATTTAATTAACCACTTGCCCTCCAGAGGATTTACCCCCTTTCCTGACCAGGCCATTTTTTTGCACTTTAACTGACAAATGCTCAGTCATACAACGCTGCACCCCAAAGAAACTTACATCCTTTTTTCCCACGAATAGAGCTTTCTTTTAGTGGTATTTGATTGCCTCTGCTTTTTTGAAATTTTTTGCTCTACAAAAAAAAAAAAAAAAAAAAAAAAAATGGACCGACAATTGAGAAAAAAAAAATATTTTTATTTTTTGCTATTAAACATGTCCAGTAAAAAAATAATAATCAAATGTCATAAATTTAGGCCAAAATGTATTCTGCTACATGTTTTTGCTAAAAACAAATTCCGATATGTGTAAATTAATTGGTTTACGTATAGCGTTTTAAAATGGCGGTATATATACTGGGTTTTTGTTTTTTATTTTTACGAATGGCGGCGATCAGCGACTTTTACTGGGACTATGGCGGGCATTCTGACCCTGGGGGAAACTGACTTGGTGTCACTGTCACTTGGTGTCGATTCAACAATACAGTGATCGATGCTACTAAAAAACACTGACACTGTACTAATGGCACTGGGCAGGAAGGGGTTAACATCTGGGGCAATCAAAGGGTTAACAGTGTGCCGTTTTACTAGTGACTGTGTGCTTCACTGTAAGCATACTGCTTTGCATGGCTGTTTTTTTTCTGCAGTGTGTTCCATAAGGTCCATTTCACACAGGGTGGACTCTGTTGAGATCAGCAGAGGATCTGTCCACTGATGTCCTGCTGAACAGAGCAGAGCAGGTGGATAACAGGTCCATGTCTGCTACCTTTATGCAGACTGGACACAGACCAAACCCTCTCTGCTCTATGGACGGCCAAGAGTAAACAGACTCAGCTGTTCGTTTGCACTTGTCTGCCCTCTGATCTGATCCACCTAGATGGAGGCTGCGTTTTCCAAAGAAGTGCAGGGACTTCTTCCCTGCATGTCAAATGAATGGGCTCTTGTGCCCGTGCAAAACGCGGCCTGCACGGCCGCATATATGTGAACAGGGGGTAATCTGTACCAGAATGATGGACACAGACCAAACCCTCTCTGCTCTATGGACGGCCAAGAGTAAACAGACTCAGCTGTTCGTTTGCACTTGTCTGCCCTCTGATCTAATCCACCTAGATTTTTTTTTTTTTTTTTTTCTAGGGGACCAGATCAGATTGGAGGTAGGTGAGTGTAACTTGCCCGTCCTGAAAAATTGACAGGCAAACCTGAATGGACCCTTTGTGTGAAAGGGGCGTAGTTCTGGAAAAACATTCTTTTGACGGAATGAAACTAAGATTAACCCTAGGTTCACATCTGTGCGGGTGGTGCTGCTGCGGATTCACACGAAAATCCGTGCAGAGACAAATTCGGACCCGCGGGCGGGTGCCATTAGTTCTGATGGCACGCCGCCCGCACTAGAAAATGCAACTATACTGGGAACCGAGGTTCCTGTGCAGGCTGCGTTTTCCAAAGAAGTGCAGGGACTTCTTCCCTGCATGTCAAATGAATGGGCTCTTGCCCTGCACGGCCGCATATATGTGAACAGGGGGTAATCTGTACCAGAATGATGGGAAGAAAAAAGTGTGGAGAAGGCTTAGAACAGCTCATGATCCAAAGCACACAACATCATCTGTAAAACATGGTGGAGGCAGTGTGATGACATGGGCATGCATGGCTTCCAGTGGCACTGGGTCATTGGTGTTTATTGATGATGTGACAGAAGCAGCCGGATGAATTCTGCAGTGTTTAGAGATATACTGTCAGCCCAGATTACACCAAATGCAGCAAAGTTGATTGAACGGCGCTTCACAGTACAGATGGACAATAACCCAAAAACACACTGCAACAGCAACCCAGGAGCTTTTGAAGGAAAAGAAGTGGAATATTCTGCAATGACCGGAGTCAATCACCTGATCTCAACCCAATTAAGCATGCATTTCACTTGCTGAAGGCAAAACTAAAAGGCAGAAAGACCCACAAACAGAACAACTGAAGACAGCTGCAGTTAGAGCCTGGCAAAGCATCAAAAAGGAGGAAACCCAGTCTTTGGTAATGTCCATGGGTTCCAGACTTCAGGCAAGCATTGCCAGTAAAGGATTCGCAACAACAGATTAAAAATTAACATTTTATTTATGATCATATTTAATTGTCTAATTACTTTTGGTTCCTTGAAAAAGGGGGGATGGCTACTCTTAAGAGCTGTAATTCCTAAACCCTTCCTCCAATTTGGATGTACATACCCTCAAATTAAACCTGAGAGTGTGCACTTTCAGCCCATATCCATTATAGAACTATAGATTTAATATTTTTTGGTAAATACCTGAAAAAAAAAACTAAAATTGTGCCTGTGTCCATATATATATATATATATATATATATATAAAAAAAACTGTATATAGCACCGTCAATTTACGCAGCACTTTACATATATATTGTACATTTACATCAGTCCCTAACCCTCAAGGGGCGTACAATCTAAAGTCCCTAAAACTTACATTCATACATACGAAGGCCAATTTAAACATGAGCCAACTCACCTATCAGCATGTCTTTGGAGTGTGGAAGGAAACTGGAGTACCCGGAGGAAACCCACGCCCCAAGCCAACGACCCTAGTACTGCCTATGTTATATATAAATATATATATATATATATATATATAAAAATCGAAAATCAATCAATCCTAATGTACTGATGGACTATATCATTTCTTGAGACCCTAAAATGCCAGGACAGTGGAAATACCCCCCAAATGACACCTTTGTGGAAAGTAGTCAGTCTGAGGTATTTTAGTAAGAGGCATGGCACGTTTTCATTAAGTTGTAATTTTTTGTCAGTTTTTTGACAATTTTTTGTCACCAGATACCATATACTGTCACCAGTGCAATACAGCGTCATCATATGACTGGTGTGGTGATGATCAAGGATACTGACTAGTGACAGTATGCTAGAAAAAAAAATAATTTATACACATTTCTCTTGCAATGTTTTTACATACTGCAACCAGAGCAGTGCATCATTACCATTGTGACACTATACTACTTTGGAGGCGGTGGTCTGGATTTTTTTTTTATTTTAACACTGATTGCGTAGAACAGTGATAATCACTGTTCTAAGCAACCGTTTTTATGAATGGAATCCTTTCATGTGCCATTATGTTCAATTGTGATAGCTGTGGATGGTCACAGCTATTAAATGGTACACGTTTGGTGTGACTGGACCTCTCTGTACCATGTGATCACTGTGACCAGTCACAGAGATCACAATGAATGTCTATGAAAGCCATTAATTGCGCATATTTGACAGGTGATCGCTGTGATTGGGCCTTAACCACTTCAAGTCCGGACACTTTCACTTCCAGTCCAGGCCAATTTTCAGCTTTCTTCTCTGGCACACTTTGAATGACACTCAGTCATGCAACACTGTACCCATAAGACATTTTTATAATTTTTTTGAGACGGAGAGCTTTATTTTTGTGGTATTTGATCATCACTGGATTTTTTATTTTTTGGTATATACATTTAAAAAAAGTGAATATGTGGAAAAGAAAAAAACATTTTTTTTTTCTTACTTTGTTGTAAAATTTTGAAAATAATAATCTTTCTTCATATATTTAGGCCAAAATGTGTAGCTACATTGTATATTATTTAGTCTGTGTGAAAGTTATAGAGTCTACAAACTATGGGATATATATCTGAAAATTGATCAGCTGAGACCCTAAAAAGCCAGACGCTGGAATGAGGCATGGCGGTCATCAGGATGCTGGTATGAGGTCTGGCGGTCATCAGGATGCTGGTATGAGGTCTGGCGGTCATCAGGATGCTGGTATGAGGTCTGGCGGTCATCAGGATGCTGGTATGAGGTCTGGCGGTCATCAGGATGCTGGTATGAGGTCTGGCGGTCATCAGGATGCTGGTATGAGGTCTGGCGGTCATCAGGATGCTGGTATGAGGTCTGGCGGTCATCAGGATGCTGGTATGAGGTCTGGCGGTCATCAGGATGCTGGTATGAGGTCTGGCGGTCATCAGGATGCTGGTATGAGGTCTGGCGGTCATCAGGATGCTGGTATGAGGTCTGGCGGTCATCAGGATGCTGGTATGAGGTCTGGCGGTCATCAGGATGCTGGTATGGGAAATAGCCTTGATCAGGATGCTGGTATGGGGTATATGCATGGATGAGGACATTGGTATGGTGTATGGCAGTGATCAGGATGCTGGTGGCATATGGGGTGATTAGAATGCTGGCATAAAGGTGATCAGGGTGCTGGTATGGGGTATGGCGGTGATCAGGACATTGGTATGGTGTATGGCGAAGTTTTTGCGAGCACTGGGACAGGTAAAAGGGGCTGGCAGCATTATTTATTAGGGACTACACTGGGGGAAATGATCACGGACACTGAGGTGGCTGGCACTGCAGTATGAGTGTACATGCAAGCTGACAGCCTGCTGTATACTTGCAGGCTTCAGCATTGCCGAGAAATGATGCTTGCTTTCATTCTCTATTGTTTACTATGTGATTGCTGTGTAAAATACCATGTGTCACCCAGAAACAACAGTAGTGTGATCCGCTGGGTCTGGGTGACACTCGGATAGCCAGCCTCCCGGGTGCGCACTCTGTGAACCATGCACGCGTGAGATTCCAATGAGGGCTAACAAACAGGTATGTTAGCCTGCTTCTGCACTGCTTCCCATCTGCCGTTTATAGGCAATGGACAGACGGGAAGCGGTTAGAGTCACTATGGAGGTGCAAATGTGATCAGCTGTGACACCAGCCATCCTAGGGTATGAAAATTAAGCTAACAGCTGACACAGGGCCTACGGTGACAAGTTTTGAGCTTGCATTGATGGGATCAGTTTGAGGTACTTTAGAGATCTTTCAAATGTGAAAGGCACAGGTGACCTCCTTCGGACAAGGAATACGTATACAGATCCTGTTCTAAGCCCACCTGAGTGCGCCCACCAGGAAGCTGTCACTGTGCCGTGCCCATCTTAAAGCAGATATCCACCCAAAAGATGAAGTTGTGCTTTAAGCCTTTGTCCCCCAATACCCATTAAGGATTGGCACCTTTGGGGAGCGGGTAACTGAATCTGACAGGTGCCCACTCCCACTGCGATCGCCTAGGTGATCAGAAGCGGAAGTTGTCGTCCACCCCTCCCTCCCCGTAGTCTTCTGGGACACGTAACAGGTCCCAGAAGACTACCGGGCCATTTACAAAGCGCAGCACATCTCGCGCATGTGCAGTGAGCACTCGGCTGTGAAGCCGCAAGCTGTCACAGCCGTGTGCCACACTGAAGATGCCAGCGCCTGGGAGAGAAGACGGTCGGTGAAACCAGCGGTGATGAGGACACCACTGGACAGGTAAGTGTCTATATTTTAAAAGTCAGCAGCTACAGTTTCTGTAGCTGCTGACTTTTTTTTTTTCCCCTTCAGGTGGAACCTAAATATGGGTTTAGTACAGGGCAGGGAATGCCTCAGCCATTTAGGATGGGCACAGTACATATGACAGCTTCCTGGTGGGCTGACTCAGGTGGGTTCAGACTAAGATCCAAACATGCCTGAGCTCATCCCGAACTTTAAGGGTTAGTTCATGTTTACCAAAAAAAACTGCCTATGCAGAAAAGGAAATTTGCAGATAAAAACAAACTGTGCAGCTCTGACTATATTTAAATAATGTC